TTTTACATTTAAATTACATTTTCAACGTAAAGAGAACATATATATATATATAATAGGCTCTTTTTTTCGGGTATTTATTATTTCAGAAAGCTAATTAGAAATTTTAAATTTATAAACGAAAACCCGATTATTTGCAGTAATATTCTTGTCGAAATTTTATGTAATATGCTTTTACGCTAAAGTTGATTACTTCTTTATTTTACATTATGCAAAAAAAATTATACAATTTTTATAATAAACGAGTTTGATAATAGCACCAAAAGCAAGTTAATAAGGTCTTTGGTTTAATGACAGCAAGATATATATTTATGTCATATTTTTAAACAAAACGTATACTTTTATGAAAGATAATTCTGTGGTATAGCAACCTTTATGTACAATTATCAGAGGAGTGGTTGCTGGTAATATAAAAAAGGTAATTTGATCTACCAATGAAGTTTGTTTGTTTGAAGTTAAGCACAACACTTTGTCCACCACGGGTATCGAAACCCGGTTTCTAGGGTTGTAAGTCCGCAAACATACCACTGTGCCACCGGAGGCTTAGATAAGGTTATAAATTATTTAGCAAGAAATTATGAAAAGTACTGGTCATTGGGGGGTGGCTACGAATAGAGAGAAACCACTGAAGGACATGTTATTTATACTTGTGTGTGTGTGTGTATTTATGTATCAAAAGTTTAAAACTCAGAACTAGACACAAAATAGATTTGTACTTACGACTCTATTGAGTATTAAGACACTCAACCTAGTTCAATCATATTGCACATGTAATTAAATGTATTATCTAAGTTTTTATTGAAGCCTTGTCTTTGCCATCATGAAGAACACTTCCCAAACCATTATTTCATGAGCTTTATGCTCTGATTTTTTTTCTAACTTACTGATGTAACAAGTTTTTCAAATAAGAGTGAAATAAACGTATATCCGGACATACATTTCATAAAATCTGGAATAACTAAGGAAAGGAGAATAAAAGAAATAAATTACCTTGATGTGTTGATTTAGGTCTGTAGATAGATTCCTATTGTGTTGTTAAGGGTTCCCTAGTGGGTCAGCAGTAAGTTTACAGACTTATATCGGGATTCGAGTCAACGCATTGAACAGAGCACAGATAGCCCATCGTGTAGTAGTTTTCAGTTAAAACAACAACGATATCGTTGGGTATGAATGGGATTATGGCCGAAAACACCATTAATAAAAGTACAGAGCAAATTAATGACATTGTGATTTTATTTCATATTAATATTATACTTATTAATTCAACTTTCCCATCGTCAGAGGGAGCTACATTCTTAATCGTATTGTGATACTACTCCATGCCACAGTTATCTCTACTGTTGTAAGGATAATTCGTCCGAAGGCTTTGAAATCCTTATCGTATTATACAATACTGATGTCCTTTGATATCTCTTGTATTTCTTTTATCAAATCGTTTTAACTAAAGTACGACACATAAGTTATTATTTTCGTCATTAAGTATAATTCATCTTATTTTACTAGTTTTTACTAGTTCACAAGGACCTTGTCTCGTTTTTTCATTTGCTCTTTCCAAAGTAGAGTCTTATTTTGTTTGACTTATTCTTTAATTTTTCCAAAGTAGGGTTTTAGTTTGCTCGAGTTATCCTTTAAGTTTTCCAAAGTAGGGTCTTAGGTTGCTTGAGTTATCCTTTAAGTTTTCCAAAGTAGGGCCTTAGTTTGCTCGAGTTATCCTTTAAGTTTTCCAAAAGTAGGGTCTCAGTTTGGTTGAGTTATCCTTTAAGTTTTCCAAAGTAGGGGCTTATTTTTGCTTAAGTTATCCTTTGTTTCAATACAAAAGTCCATTCCAAATACTAGAGTCTTCAACAATACTTTAGTCTCTAAGAAAACCAATTATGAAGAACCTTCACAAATGATTGACTCATGATTTTAATAGTAAATTTCTAGTATCCGAAACCTTTCTATACCGCCATCATTTGAACAACAACATTCTAGAAGAACTCTAATTTTTTGCTCATACTGTAACTTTGTTGTCACAGTATTGTTCTAATGATGTTGAAGTTTTATTGAAGAACCCTAATTTTTTGCTCATACTGTAACTTTGTTGTCACAGTATTGTTCTAATGATGTTGAAGTTTTATTGAAGAACCCTAATTTTTTGCTCATACTGTAACTTTGTTGTCACAGTATTGTTCTAATGATGTTGAAGTTTTATTGAAGAATCCTAATTTTTTTGCTCACATAGTAACTTTGTTGTAACAGTATTGTTCTAATAATGTAGAAGTTTTATATCTCGTTATTACAGATACGGACAACAACGGATATTTGGATGTGTGTGACTTTGAGTGTCTTGCACTGGTAAGTTCATATTTATATGTTTTTGCACAACTAAAGAAGTGAATAGACATATATATTACATAATATAGAGAAATTAAGTATGGTTATTATTTAACTCATCTGTTATGTATCGGGTCTGTTTGACTTGAAATTAGTTTCCATAACGTTATGATGCACTAAAATATATTTTAGTTATCATATTTCGCGTTATGAAACAATCCCTAGTTTGTATTATTTCTTCAGATTCTGACATTATACCTAGTTTACCTTCAATTTTCGTATTGTGACATCTAGTTAGTTTGTGTTCTTTCTTCACATTATGACATCATCCTTAATTGTTGTTCTTTCTTCACATTATGACATTATTCTTAATTGTTGTTCTTTCTTCATATTATGACATCATCTTTAGTTTATGTTCTTTCTTCACATTATGACATCATCCTTAGTTTATGTTCTTTCTTCACATTATGTGATGATGTTTACTAAATCGAACATTGTTATAAGAAAAATGTTAGACAACTTAATACATAACAATATTTTGTATCAGAATGTGAAAAAAAGACTATGTTTTCAGTGCTTATACAGCGTTATCATCATGAATGAAGTGATGTCGAGTACAAACTATTTATTACACAGTTGTGATGCAAGAGTTGCAATGCAACATATTCAAGTGACAAGAGGGGGAGGGGTGAAGTTAATATATTTAACCAATTTTGTCAATATTTATTTCCTGAACCAACAGCTCAATTTAAAGCTATTTCTTTGTGTTTATCCAATATTATTTCAATGGATTCGCGAATAATCATGGCAGTTTGTATTGTTTGGTCGACTTATGATTTTAGTATTTAGCCATTTAATTCTATGATATATTTTATTTACATGTTCAGCTTATTCTGAAATAGGTGTTTTATTTACATGTTCAGCTTAGAATGAAATAGATGTTATATTTACATGTTCAGCTAATGCTGAAATAGATGTTATATTTACATGTTCAGCTTAGACTGAAATAGATGTTTTATTTACATGCTCAGCTTAGAATGAAATAGATGTTATATTTACATGTTCAGCTAATGCTGAAATAGATGTTTTATTTACATGTTCACCTTAGAATGAAATAGATGTTATATTTACATGTTCAGCTTAGACTGAAATATATGTTTTATTTACATGTTCAGCTTAGAATGAAATAGATGTTATATTTACATGTTCAGCTTACGCTGAAATAGATGTTTTATTTACATGCTCAGCCAAGGCTTAGATATATATTTTATTTACATGTTTAACCAAGGCTCAGATATATATATTATTTACTTGCTCAGCCATAGTTAAAGTAGATGTTTCATTAGAATTTATACAAGTTCTATGTTCATTTATTTTGAATTATAAGTTTCTTGTTTTTTTTTTGTTCATCATAGTTTATATCACATTCACAGTAGGTTCTATAAACACCAGACTTATCAAAGTTCGTTCGTTTGTCTTTGATTGACGTCATTTTGCTTTTAATTTGTTCAATTTGTTTAAAAACAAGACAAATGATAGTTTCAAGAAAAACATTGGCGAAGCTGCTGTCAGCTCTTTTTAAAAAGAAGAAATCATATCTGTTTTGATTCAAAGTATTTAATAATCTGTAGAAGTATTTATTTAATCTCTATTACCATTTTCGTTGTGTAATTCGATATACTAAAAACGCATTACATCCTCTATCTTTAGGAATGTGTCTAATAAAACGAATCTCTTTTTTCTAAATTTTTATGTTCTGAAAAATTGAAAAGCTCTGTATACATACGTTTTAAAAGAATGAATTTCGTTAAAAATTTATAGAATGATTTTCCATGTGGTAGCATAGAAACTGAATACGGTTTCAGATACACTGTGGTACCCATATTACCAGTTTCGTCTTTTTTTAACGAGAGCATCTAGAACAGAATCTGATTATCTTACTCCAATTCGTAAGCGAATTGAGTAGATTTTAGAGAAACTACATTTTCTGTATAAATTATACAATCTTCTAATTTTTCCAAATCCATGACGTCACACTACAACAGTTCCATCTACGTATTTAATCCATAGGCCTAATTTTATAGGTATATTTTCAACTAATCCTTTTTCTTCAGAATTATTCATGAAAAATTCACAGAGAAATGAAGACAGAGGCGAGCCATGGCTAAACACCCATTTTTGTTTAAAACAATTTTAATTTTAGGTAGAAAAATGGCATTTTCAGTTACATATTTTGTTATAACTTTACGTTTTTCAGTTTAAAAAGATATTCTTGTTTATCAACCTGTTTTTGAAACACGTAATTACTCTTTTAATTGAGACCTCTTTTAAATAATGAAACAATATTAAACGAGACCATTTTATCTTCTGGGTTTCATTTTAAATCTTTAATTTTTAACAAGATAGTCTGAATTCTTCACAGTGAATTCGCTCTATTTACATAAATATTCATTTGCTGGTACTAAACCTTGTTATAAGATTTGAAGAATTACCAATGATTGGTTTTTAACTATTGCTTGTTATAAGATTTGAATAATTACCTATGGTTGGTTTTTAACTATTGTTTGTTATAAGATTTGAAGAATTACCAATGGTTGGTTTTTAACTATTGTTTGTTATAAGATTTGAAGAATTACCAATGATTGGTTTTTAACTATTGTTTGTTATAAGATTTGAAGAATTACCAATGATTGGTTTTTAACTATTGTTTGTTATAAGAC